GTCTATGTTTAAATGTACACACGACTACAAATCAAGCTTTACATAACCAGTATAAACTGAACGTTAAATGTGCGGAAAGATGACGCGACGCGATACCAGGATAAACTGGCTTTGTATCGATTGATGTGTCGTGTGTACACGTGTAAAAGACAGAATTTTCATTGTTATGCAAATGTTTGAAGGTAGAAATTGAAATAAATTGTTACCTCAAAATGGGAATAGTAAATCAGGTGATTACATACGACTTTGTAGGTACATACATGTTACAACTACGTTTGTGCGTTCTGTGTGACGTCAAAGGTTAACATACTATTGAGCGGATAGGTTAGTTATCCCTTACACACAAAACTGCTTTCGGTAATTTTCCAATATTATACCTATCCATATCAGAAGTCGCGGAGAACCTAACGGGTAACCGGGGCTCCAGTTCGACGTGCAGGAGAAGGAACGGGGTGGTTTTTAGTCAGTAAGAGTCTGACACTCCCTCCCGCCTCACCCAGGCAGGAGCAGTCATTCGATGATTATCCCACCTTAAAAAAAAATCCATATCAGGAAATATCATATTTTTACACAGACATACATACATATATAACTTCACAGCCTGTCTCCCATGAAGGTAGGCAAAGACTATGGAACGCCAATTGCTACGATTCACAGTTATCATTACACAGTCATTGGAGTCACAGGCATCAGGAGTTACACAGCATTGGTTCCAAATAGGTATTATGCGACTAATAAAATGTATTTTCATTACTGAGTACCCAGTTCGGGGGATTTCCCGAAAATGCAACGGGAACGGGAAGAATGCAATTTTTGTCCGCGTAGGTACCTATAATGTCGTAGATAACTAAAATATAAATAAAAATTAATACCTACTGACTAACTGTACACCGATGTTATTGAAATTTTGTTGTCACGAATCGGAAAACTTTAAGTAATATTAACTAAAGAAAACGCATTTGTTTACCACAAGATTCATAAACACAATAAATACACATACACAGACATCGTCAACCATACAAATTATCATCTAATAATAAATAACGCAATTTAATATAAACAGAAAAAACAAAAGCAGCAATATATCAAAACAAAATATTTAAGTTATGGTCGTCCTTTCAAACATTTGAATTTATTAATGTTTGATTTCCGAGTGACATAGTACTTTATTCTGGCATTATTAGATACTAGCTTCTGCCCGCGGCTTCGCTGGCGTTTCCGTGGGATAAGAATTATCCCTCCTCTATCCCTCTTCCAAGTTTCAACCCACAATACTAAAATAGTATAATAAAATAAGGTCATTCACTGTTACATGGGACTCTGTAACATAACACGACTGAAGAGAACACAGTCTGTAACATTTACTTCTTCAATATCATCTTTGTGAAGAGTTGTAATCGCGATTAACAATGTTCATGGAGGTTGCAAGCGTTAAATCTTTTTAATGTTAATACAATATGTTTTATGTATTATTTCAGTTGCTAAGCCGTTTAAATTAGAGCCGACACCACCACAGTGCCCGAAAGAGAAAACTTTTGAAAATATGGTGAAGCAGCATGAAGCAGCACTCCTATCTTTGACTCCTCAACAACTGGAACTCCTGATGAAGTATGCTGATGTCCTTCGCAGGCAGAGGATGATCACTCAAAAATATTTGGTATGACTTAATAGTTTTAATCTTACATGTCTCAACCCTTATAAGCCGAAACGAATAATTAAGTTGCAGCGAAATACTGTATTTGTATCTCGTAGCGCGGAGGTCGTAGCGCGTAGTTCGTAGTGCTTAGTTTGTCGAGCGTAGCAGCGTATCTCGTTGTTTATTTCGTAGAAGTGCAAACTGTAGACTTAACTGGAAGGCATGTCAGCTGCACCGCACAAAAATAATTATTTATATAAAACGAGGACTATGAGTATACGCTGCTACGAACTACGCAGCTACTAACTACGCAGCTACGAACTACGCGCTACGACCTACGATTGGAGTTCCGCCTTAACTTAAGTGTAGAATTAGGATTTATAGATTTAGGGCTGGGTATGTAAAATTAAAAACTAGGCTCTACGTGAGATTTGATTACTTTTTGACAGTCCGAGCTGTATACTTTCATCTTGGCATCATTAATATGAAAATGCTTTTTGTTATTGTGAGATTACCGTTGTTGGTCCTAAGTGAGTTTTTATTTAGTAATGGAAGTATTCCGGCTGATGATGATAGCTATGATGTTTCTTATTTTACTTACAGGAGTGTGCATTTTGTAAGAACAATGGGAAGTCATCAGATTGGTACACATCGCACGCATTGAAGGATGTTCGTGGCAGAGTGTTGTGTCCAATTTTGCGAAAGTACCACTGCCCTCGCTGCGGCGCTACTGGTGATCAGGCCCACACCATTAAGTACTGCCCGGATTTAGTTTTAGGTGAGCATAGACAGCCATAATCTTTGTATATTGAAAAATGTCTGAAAAGGAAATAAATGGCATCAATCGCTTGTCATCAGGTAATTTGTTTGTTTGTCTAACAGTAGGATGAATCCTATTTTCAACTACCGTCACTATTTATTGTTAGTGGCACTCTTTTCACACAATAATAATGCACAATCTAGATTTCTTGTTACTACGGAGAATTTCAACATGGTAATAGTGCTAGTTCCATAGCTTAGCAACCAATAGAATGTCTCCGTGCAATGAATTCAATAAACCTCTCACCAAACGAGGTTGCTTAAAAGAAATCAATGGAATGGAATCTAAAAAAGTTTTCACACATACACTAATAACGACACGCCTTTTAATACTAGAAAGAACATCTAGAAGTTCACGTGAAAGGCAATGCCAACATTGCACTGGTGTTAAGTACAATCGTCAAAATTGGTGGTCGACCATCATTTAGGCAATATACGCATGCACTCGGCACCAGCGCCCATAAGAAATCGCGTGGTAGATAACGAGTTTACCACAGGATTTTGTTTACAAAGTGTACTATCGTAAACTTTGCCGATAGTACATGCAAATAGATTCCTACCATTAATAAGAATTTATGTTGAAGCGAAAATGCCCGATAATACTCTGTCAGTAAAGTCACAGAGAAAAAGATTCAACTGCTTTTCACAACCCTTCGGAAATTCTACAAACTTTAATTACGAGGTTGTACAGGTACATAATAGAACTTTCAATAAATACCGCCGTAGAACTAATCAGACCAGACGATGCCTTATTCAGTGAAATTGAATTTAATTATTAATTTTCGACTTCTTTCAATTATTTTGAAGTGATTTCACAAGTCTCAATGTTAAATTAATGCCTCGTTGGCCGAGTGGTCGCAAGTGCGACTGCCGGGCAAGGGGTCTCGGGTTCGATGGAATGTTGGGTCGTGCAAGTATTACTGGATTGTAAATAAATCTCAGTAGTAGCATAAAGTCTGGATTGTGCCCGGTATACATGCCTATTACATGGGACTCATAACATAAGTAGTGAAAAGTGAGTGTTACATTGTACAGTGGCATAATGTGCACCTTTGCCTACTCCTTCGGGGATAAAAGGCGTGATGTTATATTATGTTAATTTTATCAGAAATGGTACTTTAAGTCTTTAATAAGAATACAATTCATTAAATTTTTTTCAGTGTATTTTTTATATTTTTAAGTATCGTAGTTACCTTATGGTAATTACCTATACAATATACATGTATTTAAAAAAACAATAGTACCTATACATGTATTTCTATAGGTAACAATAGACCTGTCTCAGTCATTTTTAGCTTATAATTACATTTAACTGAGTGTAAATTAAAACAGATAGGTATGATAACGACGACAAAAGACAAGAATAAAATAAATATCTCACAATAATGTATTACAATAGTTAATTTTAATTAAATTATCCATTTATTCTAATTTTAACTATGTATAAAAAAACATGTTGTCAAGTAAATCTGGTTTGACAGTTATAAACTCATGCGCAGTTAGTTGAGTAAAAGAAAGAAAATGTTTCAAAATCCCCTTTTTTGGTTTTGTTTCAGACTCACAAAGCATCAGTTCTGGAAAATCTTCATGTTAAAATAATAGTTTTGACAATATAAGGTTTTTAAAAAAAAATGTTTTTAGTATTTCGCTTTAAGACTCCTTGTTTAAAACCCTTATTATTTATGCATGCTTTGAAAGGTAAGTTAACGCTTATCGGGACATTATGTGAAACTCATAGCTGGTAAAAAGCTCTGTGGTCTCTTAAGTATCTCAGGTACATTCTCGATAGAATCTAGCGAAAAATAGTAATACAGATATAATAACTGATAAATTCACACATCATATCGTCATAATAGATTTAAATACCAAGTCTAATTGAAAAATAAAGACATTCCCTACACTAGGATTTTCTCAAGTGTAGTGGATGCGTTTACAAACATACAAGTGGATGTTGTTGTGGATCACATAAACAGTTACTCTGTGCGAGAATCGAACCCGCGACACGTTGCGCGGCAGCCGGTTGCCCAGCCATCGCACCTACCGTGTCGTCAATTTTATAACAGAAACAAAATATATAACTGCTATTAAGTCTGCATCCATGAGGGTTTTAAAATTACAGAACACGAATACGACTGATAACATAATGGTTCGATCGAAGACCTTCATACCTTGGTTTGTGCTTCCAATTTATTCCAAAGAAAATATGCCCCTGGCAGTTTGGGTAACACGAATGTAAAAGAAAAATAGCTTCCAGCATTTTGGCTGTATCGTGACTTGGAGAAATGTTTGGATATTTCACCATATTTTTCAACACTTTGTGTAAACTTTTCTTAACAAGTTTTAGGGTCAGAAGAGCGACTGCCATCGACTGCTTGCCATCTGTCTTCTACAAGCCCCTTTTTTTTAAGGGGGAATATCATCGAATGGCTGCTTCCGCCTAGGTGAGGCGGAAGGGAGTGTCAGACTCTTACTGACTAAAAACCACCCCGTTCCTTCTACTGCACGTCGAGCCGGAGCCCCGGTATCCCGTTAGGTTCTCCGCGACAAAGTATCTAGTTTACAAGCCCCTTAAACTTCTCTGTTAGATACATTTCTAGAATTCATACATTTGATTATAAAAGCTGTGTAGAGTGTTGCACTGCACCATAGGTTTATAAAGGGTCGGCAAGGCGCATGTAATGTCCCAAGTGTTGCAAGCGTTCATACATAGGCCACGGTAACCACTTACCATAAGGTGGGCCGTGTGCTTTTGCAACCGTCGTCGTGGTATAAAAAAAAACCTATGTCATTTACTTGTCAATTAAGATGCTCCTTAAAAAAGTTAACGCAAACGTCAGATCCTTATCAATAAGTAAGCCTTTCATCTTATGCTATTATATAAAGCGGAAGTTTGTTTTTTTGTTTGTTTGTTTGAACGCGCTAATCTCCGTAACTACAAGTCTGATTTGAACAATTCTCTTTGTGTTGGATAGCGCATTTATCGAGGATGGCTATAGACTATAAAAGATCACGCTACGACCAATAGGAGCTGAGCACAGCGTGTGAAACCGCGCGAAAGTAGCTATTCTTTTATAAGCATTTCAAAAAACCTAAAAAGATGTACTAATATCATTTTATTACTCTCACATAAACTACGCCATAAATATATCCAATCAATGTATAACGTGGATTCTATCTCTGATGAACTTCTTTCTTCCTACCACTTGTATGCTGACGATCTGCAAATTTACTCTCAGGCACCTCCTGGTGAATTCACCGAGGCGGTAAAAATGGTGAATACCGACTTAGCTCGAATCTCAGAATGGAGCGCGGCTTACGGTTTAAAGGTTAACCCTGCGAAGACCCAGGTCATTGTAGTCGGTAGCCCTCGGTTACGTTGCAAAATTACATGGTCGCAGATTCCACCTATTGTTTTTAACGGTACCATAATACCATACAGCGACTCAGTGAAAGATCTAGGCATTACCATAGATCGAGACTTTTCTTGGGGACCGCAACTGGGGCAGGTCAGCCGGAAAATATTTGCGTCAGCCAAGTCTTTACGTAGACTTCGAAACTTTCTACCAACCGCTACCAAAATTGCGCTTGCTCAATCACTTCTCCTTCCCATTCTTGATTATGCCGACGTCAGCTATCCAGACCTTACTGAAGCGCAGTTAGATAAACTTGAGCGACTCCAAAATTTCTGTATAAGGTTTATATTTGGCTTACGAAAATATGACCACGTTTCCGAATACCGAGCTAAACTCAAGTGGCTGCCGATCCGCCTTCGCCGGAATACTCATATCCTATCCCTTCTCTACAATATACTGTTTAATCCTACTACGCCATATTACCTTAAAGAACGTTTCAAGTTCTACCATGACACACATTTTAGACCAGTACGGTCGTCGGGAGATCTGAGACTTGAGATGCCCCAGCATGAGAGTAAATCCTACGACAAATCGTTTACAGTTCGAGCTATTCGACTGTGGAATGCACTTCCCCCTTCCATAAAACAAGCAAAGTCACTGGTCACGTTCAAGGCACGCGTGAGGGAGCATTATCTCTCCACACTGTAGTTCATTGTTGTTTCTTCACCTAGTGTCACCTATCTGTCATTGTATCTTGTTTCTAAATGTACTTATGTATGTATGTATGTATGTATGTATGTATGTATGTGTGTGTATGTAAGTATATAATTCTATATTAAAAGTAAATAAATTTGTTTTTTAATGTTTACTCTTTTACATTATATAAATAAGCACTGAGTACGCCAAGCTATAACTACCTCATTTAATATCCTACTTTATTATTCTATCCACCCAAAGGTTGCCTGGTAGATATCGCTTTTAGCGATAAGGCCGCCTTTGTACCCTATTTTCTTTATTTATTCCTTGATGTACTGTCTCAAATTGGTGTACAATAAAGATTATTTATTATTATTATTATTATTATTAACGTGGAGTATCACAAAAGGAATTAAGTACATATTATTACCTACACAATACAGGCAAATTGGACCAATCTCCGGTCCTCAAAACATGCTCAAAATAACTCCTTCTGAAATTAGAACTGTGGCGTGTGTAAGACGAATCAATGACTTACTGTATACTCGTAGGTACACGTTGATTATTGATAATACGACCCCATTAAGCTAAAGTCCATGTTAATACTGAGAAGAAGAAATATTAATATTAAGAGTTTGTTATTATATTTATTTAATATTTCGTTGATCAGGTGGTCATTAGTTCTGATGAGCTAGCTACTTAAATAGAGTAGATGACTAATTTTTATTTCAATATCCGTCTGGTAGATTATTTAACATCATTAGATATGTATTTTTAATTTTCTTACGGAAACGAATAGTTTCGAAGTTATATTTATTTGAGATATCGCATGACGTCACTTTTGAGTACGATTTATACTCATAAATGACGTATCTACCTCCCACTCCTAAACTTGACTAACTTTAACTTTGATTAGTTTTATCTAAGTATTGTTTTCTTATACGACAAATTTAAAAAAATATGTGTATAATATTTTTTCATTACCTAACTGACGGACTAATTAGATTTCTAATTTTCTCACTCTGTCATCATCCCTATTCAGAAATAAAGAAATTAAAGACATCGAGCTTAATAGTTATTAATTAAATGTTAGTACTTATATTTCTTCAAAATAGGATACATAAAGGATTTTAAAAATACATCATCACCATCATCATCGACAGCCGGAAGACATCCACTGGTAGACAAAGACTTTTTTTTTATTCTTATTAGGTCGACGTTTGGCCACCATCACGCCTGACGATACGCGAAGATGTGACCGACGATGGAGCACGGAACTTGAAGACACCCAAGTCATATTTGACGGGAAACGGAGACTCCGGCAAGGAATTCCATTCCTTAGCGGTTCGCATGAGGAAGCTTGACGCGAAACGCTTTGTGCGAATGGGTGGAATGTCCACCAAATAAGGGTGGCGCCCTGCCGTTGGTCTGGTGGGACGATGGTGAAATGGAGGCGAAATAAGGTTGTGCAATACCCACGACTCCTCCTTAGTCCACCACGTCGAACAACAACTCACCACCTGCATCCACTGGCTCCCCGTTTTAGAACATAGGTAAGTAATGGGTGGATTTTTTGACGGAGATATGAAAGAAAGAAAGAAAGATATCTAACACGATGCTTAAATCTAAGCTATGGAACACGCAAGTGACGTAAAAGACAAACAGTTAAGCAGTTATAGAATTAAATAATAATTATTATGATTAACATAGAATTGTTAGAAAACTCTCATTATTACACATACTTCCTTATTTTTTCTTTTGAATTACGTACCTACGTAGTTGGTCAGATAATGAAATTGAAAACAAAAGGAGATGATAAAAACAATGCGGATTATAAACAGCCATTGTAGTATCCGTAGTAGGTACCTAATGTACCTAGTAAACGTAATCTGTCCATGATATAATTCCTAGTAGGTATTTTAAGTCCTACAACGAGGTCCTAATTGCTTTCGATATTTGGAAGATAGCCAAATTACCAATAAAATTTCTAAGTTACTCGAGAATGATCATTATGGGATTTGTGGGACTGGGTGGATTAATGGGACAAGCTCTCGACTTCCTCCCAAAACCGCTGCAAGTCCTGTAAGCCAGGATCTACAGTAGTTACAACCATGAAAACACCGGAACACTGAAGTCCGGCGCGTCCCAGGGACATGAATAACTGTCTTGGTTCCCGCAACAAAGTGAATCAGAAGATATTATAAGAGAAGAAAAAAAACGATAATGATTATGTAGGAAAATGAAATGTGTAGAGGTTCTATTCTTTTATGGTGGTGGTGGTAAGTGCGACTGCCGGGCAAGGGGTCTCGGGTTCGATTCCCGGGTCGGGCAAAGTATTACTGAGTTTATTTCAAATATTTTCAGTAGTAGCACGGAGTGTGGAATTGTGCCCTGTATATGGAAATAGGCTCACCCCCTATTACATGGGACTCATAACATAAATAGTGAAAAGTGGGTGTTACATTGTACAGTGGCATAATGTGCACCTCTGCCTACCCCTTCGGGAATAAAAGGCGTGATATTATGTTATATGTTATTATGACTTTCGTGAGACAATATACTAAATGAATTATTATGTTTTTTGGCTTACTCACGTAATTATTTGATGAGGAACTCGACTAGTTTCAAGCCATGCTAGAGACTCATATTTGTTGTGAGCGCGACCGTTATATCCGCGACCCGCTCTAGC